ATCTGGTTTGATTTAAATATTTAAGACGTTTAACATAAAAACTGCATTGGTCTTAATATGCAGATTTCACACACTGGTATTGATGTAGAAAGACTCTCATCATGGTCTGATTAGCATAGGGAACACAAGAGCCTCTGGAGAAGACAAAGCATTTCAATAAATCATCCATGTTAATCCTTGAATTGCTTGAATGGAAATTGCCATTTAGTGTTGCATTGATGAAGTCCCCACAATGGCCTGCAGATGGCAGCAAAGTCATTTGACTGATCCTTTTCATAGAATACGGTATTTAGGGGTAAATGTCACCTTTCAGATTTTTTTTTTTTACCTTTCCTGCACTTACATGTTTGAACAATTTAAACTGTTTATAAATAATTTCGTCTTCCATTTTTGCCCTGCACTCAAATGATAAGTAGCACCCAGTGTTTGACAGGTTCATGGGCCAGATCCATCTTTTGTGCGTTGAATACAAGTACAAGAGAGGTAAGAAGTACGAAGGAATCCTGCTGTCTCTAGGCTTTATTTATTGGTAATCCATGGTTGCTCATGTACATCATCCAAGCAGAGCTGCTCCCTTCATAGTGTATCAGTAAACATGCAGACAGAGGCCCTCTGACATGTTTACAGTCCTGGCTGCAGTTCAAATGTCGGTAAATCTCCTCTTATAAATGGCAGTCATAAACATCTAATGGGCTGTCATGAATATTTTAGAGCCTTAAATATCATACAGAAAATGACCTCTGGAAAGCTACATTCCTAACAAGACACATTTCTTAGATGGATAACCCAGTCGGTGCAACACGAGGGCCTTTTTCTAGTTCTTTTTTTTTTTTGTAGCGTGGTTGGATTGATTTGTCATTTGCAAAAGGAAAGAGCTTGGCCACGGGGCTGTGGATAATCCAATTTATCGCTTTGCCATTTATTACTAATTTCTGTGGCTTTTGGGTCCACTGTCACATCGATTCGTTGATTGCTTGCTTAGCTGGGTCCTAATGAGCTGCTGTCTGAATCACTGCATAATCGCCGCCCTAATTCACTTCCTCGCCTAGCCTCACACTCGGTCTGCTGGCTCGCAACTATTACAATAGAGTGGACTAAAGCATCTCTCCGAACAGACAATTAGTAACATCTCCTTGAAATAGGGTGTCATTGTGCAGATATTACTCTTTTGAAAAATGACACTCCCTTTGCGCCTTTGCAGCATGTTGTCAAAGATGGCGGTTAGAGGTGACGATCTGGCTCACTGTGGCACATTTTCATCTGATCCACATGGGATGAACACCACGAATATGAAGGAATGGGAGAATATTTGAATTTTGGGGGTCAGTTTTGAGATTTACGTTGGTTTTTGCCTTGAGGCAAAGTTCAACAAGAAAAGGAAAGAAGGACAAAGATAAGTAGGTAACACTATTTCACTCATTGGTGACCTAGAAATAAGTTAACCATAATTAGCTTTCTAATTTTGTCCCTCAGTCTTAATTGCTACTAGCCTACAAACATCTCGAACAGCCTTAGTTTACAATTTATACCTACAATCAAAGTGAGAAGGAAATAAACTCTTAAACTCTATACAACAGTAAAACAAAGATGATTTATTTTATAATCAGCCAACTGTTATGGCCATTAATCACCATCATCTGCTACGTTTTGTATGAAAAGTAACTCCTCCACGAGAATTTGAGGAAACAAGTGATTATTCTAATATTCAATGGTTCTACATAGATGCCATTATTAACTTTTCTTGAAAACCACTGCTACCTTTTTTTGTTCAGTAATTATAAGAATAATTTTAACTGATATTCCAAAATATCACGTTTACATTTGCAGGTTGTCATCTTGAACAAAACTCCAAGGGTTTCTGCCTTCAGCATCTATACGTTCCAGACATTTTACTTTAAGGTTAGCTGTTATTTGAAGACCATCTCTTGAGGATGGATGAGAGAGCAAATACCACCAGGTGCAGGTTTACCTCTGCACCAATATCGGCTTGCCTAGGTGGCATTTATCAAGCTTCAAGAGGGGCTTAAGGCCACACCAGGATGTTTGTGAAGAGGTTGGTGGATAAGTATAGGAGGGAGCTAATCAAGCCGTCTATCAACAAAAGGATCTGTTTACTTCATCACTTGTCCTGTGCATCAGGCTCTTTTTTTATGTTTAATGCAGCTTTCAGTCTGAGTTACAGTAAAGTAGAAGGTGATGCAATTACATCACCATGGCTTTCAGAACGTTGACATATATTTAAATAAACAGACGGGCTCATGCAATGTATTAAAAAGGGAAAAAAAAGTTATGATGCTTTGCAAATTGAAAAGACAAACTTATAATCATTACTATATTTTCTTAAAGGACAGATGCTCATTTTGAAATGGATCAAGGGCAAGGAAAGATTGTAAAAGGCGCACAAAACAAAATACTGATGAAAAACTTGTATGATTGGCGGCAGGTCATTATTTCAGATGATGAAAATTTAAAGATTGGCTTTGTAAAAACAAGCAACAACAACAACAAAAAAAAAATCACTTTCTTGTCTTTTAAACAGTGTGAACATTTGAGAACTGAGGTGCCCGATCAAACGGGAAGAAAGTGTTTAGGAAACTTTTTAAAATACATTTGTTTTGTTCAGTGTAGTCACATTATGCTACATGTTTGCATCCAACTTTCCACTGCAATGCGTCTTTAAACAGAGAAAATGAACATTATGGCAGATTTCATATGTCTAAATCAAAATAAATCACATGCAAAATGGTTTTCAGACAACATTTCTTTAATACAAAGTCAACATATCTACATACACAGTGGCTTTAAACCAATTATTAATTCAGTTTGAAGTAACAGTTTGAAAGTGATAGCACTTCGATAAAGGGGAAAAAAAAAGGTTTTGCTGAGTTTGGGTTCTTTTCGTTTGTCGATATGTACCGTACTGCATCTGTTCTTTAATTTAATGGAATTTATTTATCAGTGTTGTCCTTTTTTCTTACATCCTAACCTGCCCTCCAATATTTAACAAAACGTTCCAGTAAATTTAGCGTAGGTTAAAAAAAATTTAAAAAACGATCGCACAAGCTTTGAGCAACTTCCATGATCTTTTAGTTTTGGCCCATTCAAAAGTCTCTTTGAATCCCGAAAGGGTCATTAGGAAACATCTCATTGGGAATTTGCAGAAAGTTTTTGGTTGTCTCCATCTGTCTCATTCCTGCTGCTCACGAGTTCTGATTTCTTTCTCCACCTCCAAATGAAACATGGTCAAAGAAAAACAGCATGTATACGAGGTTAAAATTCAGCTGGGAGAAACAAAAGGTCAGCATGTTGTGTTGTAAGTGAAGTATGTATGGCCTTCAGCGGAGTTTATATGTTTATGGGTTAACATTTTAGGTTACAGGACAGCTGGAGATGTGGGGATTTGTAAGAAACTGTTAAAAACAAACACTTCTGGGAAAAGTAGAGTAGCAGTTACCTTGTAATTCATCTTATTTTGGACTTGAGGTGACTAAATAATGTCATATTTTTTAACATTTCGTCTGTCCACTCAAAGAATAATTGATAGTTCGAAGGTTAGTGTGGAGATGAGTAACATCTCAGCTAAAATCAACTGATTGTTGTGCCCTCGTTCAGGCTACGAGTGCGGGAGCAGAAGCTGGCATGCTTCCCAGTTCGACTGCTAGCAGGGGAAATTAAAGACAGCAAGAAAAAAAATGTGAGAGGTAATTAAAGAGCAGGGAGCAGAGCTAAGAGATGGAAGGTTTGAGGAAAAACAGGGTTCACAAACAAAAACCTGGGAATGAGTAAAATCTCGATCTGTGTTCGTGTTCCCACTTCAAAGTATGAGATCCCAAGGGTCAAATGATACATATATTCTATATATTTTTTTTATTTACACATATACTCTAGGTCATAGCGGATGTCTATTAAAATTAATGCCAACATTATGTCTGAAAATATAAGTAAAAAAGGAGAACTTTAAGAAGGTTTTCTGAAGATTTCGAGAGGCTGTACATAATCATACAAGATACAGAATGTCAGTGGCTTGATACATGAAACAAACATGGTCCAATATGAAAAGCTGATTCATTCCTATAGATCCGATAAAAAAAAAAATGCTAAGAAATTAATATAAACAAACAAACATAAAGCTTTTAAAATAGGATCTCCTCATCGGAATAAGTTCTACCCAACGGATAGAGGTTCATGATTGATGACCGAAGGCAGTATTATGACATAGTACTCACATTTTCTTTCTCGAAGAGACTCTAAGATTAGACAATGTTAAAAAAATAATAATGTAAAAAAAGGAGAAAATTCATGTTTTTATACTCTAGAACTGACAATTTCATACATACTATGTGTTTGGATATATCTTCAGATTCTGCATTTAAATATATATGCAAGTATGAATGTGCAGTGTGTGAGTGTGCATACATATATATATATA